TTCTGATCTGAGCGACATTTACGATTAGACAGATTTTTTTAAAACACAAATACTGATGATCTAGCCGGGTTTGTCTTGCGAATTCGAGTTTTCTTCATGTAACTATTTAATTTTCAATGCAGATGGTATGGATGGTGAGCTGTTTCGCGACAGTTATGAACGATGTTATGACAGGCCTCATGATTTCACTCGCCTTTACGCTCATATCGGTCGTTTTACGAGAACAATGGTTTGTTCATCAAAACAGCTTACCTTTCAAACTTTTCAAATCTTTTCTCATTTGCTTCAGACATTCATATGTTCGATTATTGCCGTATTGAGGAAAGATTATCGCTTTTTTCCAGGCCTAAAATGTATTGGTTGGCTCAAGCAACTGATCAGGAAACGTATAAACCAAAAGAGCGTTATTCGTCACTGAAATCGTTCGACGATAACGTCAAGGTGTTACGATTCGAATCAGCACTTCACTTCGCTAATGTCACATCGTTTCTGGACACTGTTAATGAGTTGATGCATTCTGAAGATGATGAACATAGTGAATTGTCGTCCATTAAGGTTACCTCTATTATCCACTTCACTTCTTCATAGGTTTTTGTCTGAAACGATTTCAATGTCCGTGGGAGTGACAGCATGAAATGTTTTTAGTTGAATGTGTTGCTCAAATAGAACCACAAATCGTTCGTATTTAGCAAGTAACCACTGAAAGTATGGATCAATCGAATGGCAGCGAATACAAACAATTACCACTCAAGGAGATATCTTCAAGTGTTGATGATGAAACTACCGAAAGAAGCGTCAAAGTTGAAATCGCCAACCGAATTCTCATTGTTGATTGCGGGGCAGTATCGTATATCGATACAATGGGATTGGACGCATTCAAAGAGGTAAGAAGATCTTTTCTTTTTTTTTTGAACATTACAGATCGTACGTTATGACTGATATATGTGAGTACAGTGCAGTCGTATTGAGTTACTTACAAATTTCAATTCGCAAAAAACAGTTAAAGTTTGGAATCGAAGAACAACGCAGAGAATGTTTCCAGCTGAGAAACTTTGATTGGGGGATTCCAAACTCGAAGTTTCCAAATATAACGATTACACATGCTTGGAAGAAAACTTTCATGGAAAAAAGTGAATTGTTGAGTCATTTTTCAAATAGGAAAAATGCAACGAAAACTGTTACGGAGTGATCAGAGTCCAGCAAAATTGATCGAAAAATATTCCCTTCCCGACCATTATGTGTTTTCCACCGAACAATGGTTACAACTGATCATTTTGAGACGTTTATCGCAATACTAAGCCATACCGTTTCAAAGCACGAAATTCAAAACGCTACAAACAATACTTGTCAATCATACTATAGTACCTATCAGCGACTTTTGACATTAACGATTTAAAAACATCAGATCTACTCGGAAGGACTAAAACATGGTGTGGACGTCTACTTTGCGGATGTATCAGGTGAGACCTTTTTTCGCTCTTGCGTTTATGAAATTATCTGTTGTTTAAACACAGATCTGTCACAAAAAAAATGTTTTTATAAATGAATTGTTCGCAAACGAATCAATAATTTGCATTGCAATTTCAGAGTCCATCATCGATATTCTCGAAAATGTCGAATTTTTCGTGACCGTCCCGAAAACGGTCTTCTTTCCGACGGTTCATCAAGCGGCAGTTTTCGCCAATAAAACATTAGAATGATTGATGGGAACGAAGCGATTGAAAATGGTTTAGAATTGCACTTTGTGACTTTTTTTGTTGCACTTCTATGAGACTGCAGTGGATCGGAAAGAAATTAAAAGCCGAAAGTTGTCTTTGTGTTAAGTTTTGCTTTGCATCATCATTCGTTCCCTTCCAACAATTTCACATTTTCAATGGCCAGTTCGCGTTATTCACTTAATCAGTGCTTATTGTCGGAGCAAAACGAACTGTATATAAAATGGAATATATTGAGAATACAATTCATGTAAACGATGTTTGGAATATGGAATACGATCGTTCGCGGATAATTCCTTCGGATGATTTTGGGTGTATCAAATTCGACGAATGCGATAAATGTCGACTGTCGGGTAGCGATACGAATAATGAAGAATCAGGGAAACGGAAGGAGGGAATCAACAAATTCTTTGAATAATGCTGGATATGAGGATTAATGGGAGAGCAGAAGATGAGGAGATACGAACGAACGTAATAATCGTATTGAACAAACTCATGCACTATGGTGATTGCAACAGATAGAACCTCTACGTACTGATATAATAGCGGCAATGAGATATTTAAATATAATCACGAGAGTAGGCTTCATGAAGGCTGACGTTGTGCAAGCATCATTATCCATGAGGACATCCATTTCACCGAATATATCAATGGGAATCTAAATAACAGATATTTTACGGATTACACAATGAACATCCGAATGTAGCAAATAGCCGCATTGTAATACTGCTAATGATGATACGTATAGACACCATTATGCATAAAAAGTACATAGTTCGTCGCACTTTCAAGTGCTGAGAGATTGGATTGGATATTGAAGAAGCGCTCAGAATGAGTAATGGTATTAGCAGTGTGCTAGGAATGACATTGAGAAATAGTGCACGCACAACGTTAAGAGTACAAATCCGCGAACATCGGACAGTTGTGATAATGTTCTCATTTTTGTTTTTGTTTGTTCCATGTAAATAAATTGTTAATTTGTTACTTATTTGATGATAACTTTGTTGATTAATGAATGTTCATTAAAACGCTAATTAATTTGTTCATTAACCTTTTAATGCTCGTTTCAAGTTAAGCAAATCTATGAAATTTAAAAGCCTAACTGAGCATCCACATTTAATTTCATTTCACAAATATTTCAATCAAATCAGTTCATTCATTTCATCCGCAAAAGTGCAAACTTTCCTCATAGGACAACACTCAGCGCCAGTCATATCGTTTTGCAAAGTGAATGAAGCATCATTCTGCATGGGATACGAGCATCGC